GGGGAAATGGGGGCGCGGTGCTGTCACTGCAGGGATGTCACCATCCTGCTGCTGTCACCAAGCCCCAGTGCCTGGTGTCCCCCCACCCCAGTGCCACCGGACGCAACCAGAGCCCCTCTAGGTTCTGCCTTCCACCCTGCCCTGCCCGGGGGGGGGAGTGGAGGGGGGGAAAAGGAGCTGCAGCCCTTGGGGACCCCCATCCCCACGTGGTGTTTTTGGGTTATGTCCAGCCCCTGGGGCGGGGTTGTCAGGGTGGCACCCGGGACATTGGAGGCAAAGGTCGCCATGGGGGGGAGCTGCAGGGGGAGGGCAGCTGGCAGTGATCCCATGGGTGCATGGCAATGGCACTGAGCGGGGCCGGGGGGGGCCTTCCTGTGTGGGTGACCACTGTGGGCACAGAGGGGACCCCCATGTCACCACTGTGTCTTGAGGAGCAGCGCTAGGGAGGAGCCAAGGGATGGGGACGTGGTTTGCACTGTGCTGCTTCCCTGTGTGGCCAAACCCTGTGTGTTCTGGGGGGCGGACGCTGGGCCCCCCCTGATAGTGGAGGGGAGACTTCTGCTGCCTGGAGATAGCAGAGAGCTGGGGGCAGGGAGGTGACTCCTGCAGGATGGACGCGGGGACACGTGTGGTGACGGGTGGTGGGGCAGGAAAGGGGGCAGCACCCCATGGCTGAGATCCTCGGTGGCACAATGGTGGTGACAGCGCTGTCACCAGCCCCTCCCAGCCCCCACTGTGCTGTGCGAGATGTTGGGCTTCTAAAGGAGCGAGGAGGGGGGGGAGCTGGGATGTGCCCTGTGGTCGTGTGAAGGCCAAACACATCCTCTCCTGGGCTCCCTGAGGGTGCTCCTGGCTCTGAAAGGAGGAAAGAATGGCGACCTCATGCACACTGCGAGGTGCCCGGGCACCACCATGCTTGGCACTGTGCTCCCCTGCTCCCCCCGAGCCCCACGTTCCCAGGGAATGTAGGTCACCCGACTACAATCACTGCTCTGTGCCGTGTGCTGCTGGCTGTGCCGCTGTCCCCTGCCGACGTGGGGCTGGGAACGTCGTGCTGTGAGGACAGGGGACACCCACTGCTGTCCCCGAGCACTCCGCCGGGCTTCTCCCTCCTAAAAATGAACATGTTGGCTGCTTCCTTCGGTAACGGAGGGACACATCCTTCTTCCTCATGTGCAAAAGCAGAATTGTGATGTTTGGTTCTTTAATTGCTTTTAATTTTTCCATGTTTGTTGGTGTTTCCAGGTCTGGGCGTTACACTGGCAGCCTCGCAGCGATGCCGCTCCACACCACCAGAGCCGCCGCGCTCCTTGCTTGGGTAACACACAGTGATGGTGCTGGGAGGGGCTGCAAGGACCCCGGGGGGCTCAGGCTTTGGGGCTGGGGACAAGAAGCCACAGTGCTGCTTCCTGAGCTCCCCCCTTCATTTCTAGGTGAACAGCACCAAGGTGTGCATGGAGCCGCTCGGCGGTCTGTCCCAGCTGCAGGACTGCCGTGTTTTCATCCAGATCATCAATAAGATGTGAGTGACCAGGGCTGGGAGTGTAATTTCCCCCCACTCCCCACCCCCCGTGCAGCGGGAGTTGCTCTCCCTCCCCAAATGCTGCTGGGAGAAGGAAGGGGTGTGAACACTTCTCCTGGAGGGAGGGTCCTGAGGAAGCTTTGGGTCCATGAAGGAAACCCCATGGAGTGGGCACAGACCCCTCCCCACTGACCCATCGCAGCACAGGGACAGCTTTTGGGGCGGGGAGGGGCAGAACTCCAATCTTGAGAGCTGCATCCGTCACTTGCAAGCGTGAGGGTGATTAAAGCTGGCGTGTAATTAGTGCCCCAGCGAGGCCGTGCTCCCGCAGCCGGTCCTGAGGAGCTCAGTCCTTGCTATAATTATCTCCAGCACGGTGTAACAAGAGCTGCTCGGAGCAGGGCGGGGAGGAAGGAGCCATGCACTGAGATATATTTAGTCAGAGCTGCTTCACCTCTCCGGCTGCGCTTTGGCTGGGATTAGCCAGGATCACAGCACCATGCGCTCACCCCACAGCCAATCCCTGCACCAGATCCCCCCGTTTGTGGTGTTGTGAGGGTGAGCACTGTCGGCAGAGCGTGGCTGGCAGGCACGTGGTCTGCATTTGTGTTGGCTACGCTGAGCAGAAGCGTTGGATGAGAGCCACGACAGCCAGCTGCGGTTCCTTCCTTAAACCCAGCAGCTTTGCTCCCCTCTGTGATTTGCCCTTCACAGAAGCGAGCCCCAGAGCACAGCATGCAGTGTGGTGTGCTGATCCTGGGGGGGCTGGAAGTTCTGGATCTCCCCCCCCCGCCCCGGTTTTATCGGGGCTGCCAGCAGCAGGGATTGCTCACTTTGCTGCCAGGCAGCTTGGGGAAAACCCCGTCTTGCAGAGAGCCAAAGAGCCGCCTCTGGGCTGTTCAACAAAGTGAAGCTGTGAAAGCAGCCTTTGTTCCACCTCTTGCATAACACTCACACTGCCTGTGCTCTCTTGCAGCCACAGGACTGAGGAGGGGGAGTCTGTCCTGGAGCAGCCCCTGGCAGAGCGAGCAGCCTTCATCTGTGGCTTCCTGCAGAGTAAGAACCTACCATGATCCCATCCTGCAGCCTGGCCCCTTCCCTGCAGGCACACATCCGTGGTTCCCTTGGGTGCCCGGATGCTGTGTCCCAGCAGTGGGCTGCATCTCCTTCTCCTCTTCCT